ATAGGATAGAATGATCCTTTAATTGGGGGGAAATTTGGGTGTCACAGCAGCCAGAAAGACACATATACAAACAAACAGGACACAGGACAGAAACACAGTTTTTACATATTTACATCGAGGACGATGGTTCCCAAAAACAGAGTACTGTACTGTTATTAAATAAAATTAAATTAGATACAGTTAAGAGGCAAACCCTGGTTGTGAATCGGTTGATAAAATAGTGCAAGTTGCAGCGCAGATGTAAACATCTGTGTTTGTTGGTCTGACGGCTGCAGGGAGGAAGGAGCTGCGCATTAATCAGTCAGCTCCGTGTAAACAGTTGATATTGTGTGAATATGGTTTAAATGATGAAATATGATTAAAGCAGGTCAGCTTCTCCTCACCTGTTCAGTATGTCTATAGTTTGATCTTCTCTTTGTATCAGTTTGCTGTTCACGGTGTGATTTATGTTCACATGTTTGAATCTGGTCTAGATGGAGGTCTGTATTAGAAAAATCCCAGTTACTGTTTCCCCCCCAGCAGCGTTGTTGCTGTTTTTAAATATCACGTTTCTTTGGCCGTCTGTGATGTTCGCCGCCTTTCACCGCAAGTTTTTGTTTATTGCTAAAGGCTTCCTCTTATTTAGCATCACATTTGTTCAGGTGGCGTGAGAGCAGCGGCCTCCTGGAAAAGGCACGATTGGTAACCATGTGTTGTACCACTTCCCTTTTAGCCTTCAGCAGTTCCTGTGGTGACCGTCTCTGTTTTAACCGCCGTCTAACCTGGGTTGGTCTTTCCAGACCTGGAAACATGGCAGCTTTGACCTTCGACGCCTCCGGAAACAACAACAGTAACTCCAGCTGTTATGAAGACATCCAGGACACTTCAGCCCACATCTTCTTCATGGTGATCTACACCCTGGTGTTTCTGGTGAGTCGCCATCCTCTCTGTCTTCATCATGTGGCAGAAAATAAATATTAAACTTTGACTAAACGATGCAAACCTCCTTCCTGTCCCTCCCGTGTCTGCAGGTCGGTTTGTTCCTCAACGGTTTCACCCTGAACGTTTACTTCTTCAGGGGTCAGCGGCACGTGTCCAGCGTCACCATCTTCCTGAAGAACCTGGCAGCGGCCGACTTCCTCATCAGCCTCTGCCTCCCTTTGCGAATTATGAAGTACGCCAACATTAAGTCTGAGATCATCCGCAAGGTCTACTGCAACTTCGGCGCCTCCGCCTTCTACCTGAACATGTACGCCAGCAT